CCCCCCCCGCGTACCGCCGGCGCAGGTTCTCCAGGAACTGCTCCATGGTCCCCTCGTCCAGGAGGACGAAGTCAGCTTTGCCGAATTCGGGACCCTCCAGCTCCGCCATGCCGCGCCCGTCACGCACCCACTTCCCCCACACCGGCTTCCTGCACTGCCAACGACCGCCAAAACCGCGGCGCAGGCGCGGGGGGGAACGGGGAGGACCCGGTGTCATCGTCACCTCCCGTGGGGTGACGGCGAGGTGGGGCGGCCGTGGGGCGGCCATGGGGCTAGGGTCATCACGCCACGGTGATAGTCGCTGGGGGCTGCCGAGTCCCACGGGAGCATCGCAGGGTCCCCAAACCTGTCACTGTGTGTCCCCGTCCCCATCACGACATCATGCCAAAAACCCAGTGGGAAATCGATTATTTATTAAGATGCCGGCGCCACCCATTCTCATCTCAGTATCCCCAGTTAAACCCAGGTAACTGGGAGCTCTGGGGAGGACAAGCCAAGGTGAGGATCATCGGAGAGGGGACCCCTGTGCCGGTATCCAGCTGGAAAAGAAAGGGGGTAATCGTTAGGACAATGAGGATTACAGCATTAACGAGGTGGGATATAAATTCCATGGCTCCACTTGCAGTTATCACGGCAAACCAGCACTCACCAGTATTCCCAGTTCCAGTTTTTAAACAGTAAGTTACTCCCAGTAAAGCCCAGGTACCAAAAAACCTCCTTACCGAGCGAGCGAGGAACACGGTGACTTTTCCGGGAGTGTTGCCATCCAGTTTTCCCGGTGGTTGTGCCAAAACCAGGTGATCTAATAGATTTTCACCTAAAATCGAGGGGAAAAAAAAAAGGTTTGGAGTCACGATGATGACAAGTTGAGAGTTAATATTTAAATCTCCTGATTCTGGCGGCTTTTGGCATCGCCGAATCCGCGTCACTCCCCTTACCACTGGCAGGATTCGGCTGTGTGGCAAAAGCGTTGCCGACAGCAGCTTCACGCCAGCTCCTCTTTCCAGCCCTAGCATCGTGGTAGCAGGCAAGAATCACTGGTTAGAGACAAACAAACACCCACGTGGGTGGGCACGGCCGACCCGCACTGTCTTCTCCTGTCTGTCCTGGCACACAGGAGCCGCTCGTTTGCCTGTATATTTAATTAGCTGGATTAATTAGGAAGGGGGGTGGGGGGGAAACGTCTAGAGCCTCAAACTGCCCCCAGGCTGCTCTGGCCAGTGATGCAGAAACCAGGGGGGTCACCCCAGCCCCGCTCCCCCCATGGGATTTTGGCCCCGAGAGGCTCGTTTGGTGGCTAACGATGAGACGAGACTGTGGCAGCGGCGTTCGGCAGAGCTAATTAGACCAAATTAGGCTAATTACGAGGCCAGAACCCACCTCTGCTGTTCCCGGTGCCTTCCTACGTCCCTCTGCATTGGAGTGGGAACCTGAAACCAAAGAGGGAATGAACGGTGTCAGCAGGGCCGGAGGAGGTGGCAACCGGCACCGCTGTGCTTGGCATGGCCAGCCAGGCCCAGTCCGAGGGCCACGGGGCTCCCCCTGGGCACGGGGGTGTCCGGGATGTCTATAACCCCCCCCCGGGGAAGGCAGGGAGAGGCCTCAAACTGTCCCGGGGCTGCTCTGGCAAGCGCTGCAGGAATGGCAGGGGCCACGCCAGGCCCCCCCACGCTGGTAGGCTTGCAGCAATGCCCATAACGGTGGCAGTTGCCAAATAAATCCGCCGAGCCATCAAAGAGACCAGGGTGTGACTCGTGGTGTCACCGCCTTTGAGGCTCTCCGTGCCCAGCCGGACGGCATGGGCAAGCCTCACCGGCTGCGTTCCGACACGCGGTGTGGTTGCCATCATCACCCCCTCCGCCCCAAGAAGGTCCAACCGGAGTGAGGGGTGACAAGGGATGATTAGGACCTCGTGGCATCACCCCAACTTGCCTCGCATCACACCAGCTCGCCTCGCGTCAGCAGGACCACGACCTGGCGTGAGCAGGACCCCACGCCGCAGCTCTGTGGTGGGGTTTCGGCCCTGCCAGACTTTCGTTTGGTGGCTGAGGAGGTTCGGCAGAGCTAATTAAGACAGCCTAATTACGATCATGCAACCCACCTCCGCTGTTCCAGGCACCTTCCTACGTCCCTCCGCATGGTCGGAGTCGGAGCCTGAAACCGAAGAGGGAAAGAACAGCGTCAGCAGGGCCGGAGAAGGCAGCAGGCGGCCGGGCCCTGCCCGAGGGTCCCCCAAAATGTCCCGATCTCCCCCCGAGCACGGGGGTGTCCGGGATTTCTATAACCCCCCCCCGGGGAAAGCGGGGAGAGGCCTCAAACCGTCCCGGGGCTGCTCTGGCAAGCGCTGCAGGAATGGCGGGGGCCACGCCAGGCCCCCCCACGCTGGTAGGCTTGCTGGGGTGGGGGGCAATGGGAAGCGGGCACGGCCGGGCCCCTGGGGACACGCAGCCCTCGGCCCGGTGAGCCCCGCTCCCCCCGGGGAAGGCCCCGGGCGGGCAGACGCGGCCTATGGAAGACTACCCTTCCCAGCATGCACCGTACCCCACAGCAGCGGCATCAGGGCCCGATGGGGGAAAAGAGCCTCACCGCGCGCTGCCCCGGGAAGCCCCCGCTCCTCTCCCGGTCCGTGGGAGCGGGCCCGGCCGCGGATGGCGAAGGATGGCGGCGGATGGTAGCCGGGCCGGACCGGTGCACCCTCTCCTACCTGCCACTGCTGCCACCATGGCTGAGGGCGGAGCTACACTGGCGCGTGACGTCAGCGCGCGGGGAGGGGGGCGAGGCCACGCCGAAAGGGCGAGGCCAGAGGGCGGTGGGCGGAGTCGGCCATCGGAGCGGGCATGGTCGGATGCGGTGGGCGTGG